TCTTCAGATGCTTTGTCGAGTTGACCTTCTTCGATTTCAACAGCGTCCACCATGTTTGTATCTACAGGTTCTGCAAAATTTGTCTCAGCGACCTGAAGGGGATCTGGGTCGACCTTCATCTTGGGCTTCTCTCCAAACTTCAACCTTCCTTCCTTGATTGCACTCTGTATCAAATCCCTGAAAAGATAGCATTATGAGGTCTTATGGCCTAAAAAAATATGATATTTACAAAAACCCATTTTCTTCCGTTGTTCTAACGGAGGAATTTTAGTGACAGGGGAACTATCATCTGGCCATCTTTTACTAATAAGTCAAAGATTTCATCACACTTGGTGATGTCGAGTTATAGGCTCTCTTTGGGAATTTGTCATTCCTTTCTGGTTCGACGAGATTCTTCCCGTTCGCAGGTGCTAGCCCTTTGCAAGGATAAGGTGGTCCTTGCTTTAATTCTGCAAGATCTATCTCGTGCTCTTCGACCTATGACGAGTCATCTTCGACATATCTTTCATCTGAGCATGCTTCGACATAAGCCACCTTTTCTTTCCTGTGGCTTTTGTTAGCCCTTTCCTTTTGAATCTTCAAAGCTCCACTTATCGAATCCTGTCAGCTAGTTGTGCCATGTCTCTTAGATACCGGGGATCTAACTTCTTTCTGATAGAGAAGTCCAATCCTCTTACTGCCATTTCGACCAACTCGTGTTCAGGCACTTGTGTGAAACACCTTGCCTTTAACAAACGGAACTTGTTAAGATAATCATCTATAGGCTCCCTGAATTTGCGCTTAACATTATCCAATTCGCTTAGGCTGATTTTTGATTGACCTACATAAAATTGTTCATGAAATAATCTCTCCAAACGAGTCCAATCATGGATGGAATTTGCTGCAAGAGTTGTAAACCAAGTGAAATCATTTTTGGTTAGTGAACTAGGAAAATATTTAATCCTTAAATTTTCATTGTTTGCTGTATCCCCTGCTTCTGTAAGATATCTAGCCACATGTTCTATGGTTGACTCACTGGTGTCACCAGAGAACTTTGTGAATTTTGGAACTTCCCATCCCCTAGGTAACTCAGTTTGTTGAATGTACTCAGACAAAGAGGATATATAGTTTAGCCTTTGCATGCCAATATTTACTCCATTCCATGCCATTATTCTTTCGACTATGGCTTCTAGATTATTGTTTCCTACCATATCATCCTGTCGACACCCTTGGAGAATTTCATCAGCGTCTTGGTTCTGATTCACCATGACTACCCTTCTTCATGGTTCCTCCCTGGGAATAGCCTGTTGAAATCTATGTGGTTCTTCCCTTCGAACTGGTTGTTGAATTTCAACTTCTGGGTGTATCACTGGTTGGGCCTGGTCAATGGTTGGTTCTTCTTGAAACAATATGCCTTGATTCTCCCTTGTCTATGTGGGTTGTGGTTGTCGAGTTGATTCTCTGGGTGCAAATCTGCAAGACGCCCAATTTGCGCTGCCATCTGTTGGTTTGCTTGGGTATTCTGCAAATTCGTCTGTGTGGTGCATTAGATTAGGGGGTTAAAGATTGTACTCATTTTCTGGGCGAGTATTCCCACCATTTCGTGGTTACTATCATCCATTTGTTGCCTTAAAAATGCATGCGTATTTGTGGTAATAAGAGGCAATTGGGCCACATATCTTGGCTGCGAATTGTTTCGTGCCATATGGTTTACCCCTGAACCTGATCCTTGTAATGGTGAGAAGGCAGATGTTAAAGGACATGAGTATGTCAGATTGTTATTTTGAAGTCCTGTCATGAATGTAGTTGGCATTCCATATATTGAATCTGATGTTGGGATTGTGAATCTTGGTACATAAGTTCTAGAGACACTTTCTACTAAAGGTCTGGGGGAAACATGAAGATTTTGGCTAGCCACAAACATTACAAAAGGTTCATTTTGTGCGTTTGACAATATGGTTGAAGCACTTGTATTTGGGGGTATGACTGTAGCGTTCGTAGTCGAAGAGATAATCGTAGTCCCTTGACTTGTCACCATGGCTTCGATTGTATTCGAAGCATTTGTACTCCCTCACGTGGGGGGAGGAACTTGTTGTGCACTGCTAATGGGTGGGTTAGCCATGTTCTGCTTTTTTGTTCTAGGATCTGTGATATTGGCTATTTTTCCACTTTTTAATTTCATGCAGCGAAACAAGTTAGATAAAAACTGAAACTAGACACAGGGTGCTGCCGGGTGTGCCAATTTGTTTACCCTGTAATTTGGTAAACAACCGCTGATCTTCTAAATCTCTAAAAAAGATTCAGTTACTTGCAAGATCGATCAGATTGATCTCAGGACTACTGTGTTCTAGTTTTTAGGAAAAAGGTTTTGATGATAACTTCTTTAAACGAAGAGAATCACTTTGATATCAAAATAAAGTGTTCTTATAAAAGAAATAAAACAAAACTATTCTAGACTGTAAATCGTATAAAATATAAATGACATGAAGAAGTTTCATTAAATGTAAATAACTTTCGAATGTAAATATGGTGCATCATACGTACATGTCTCACTAACTCGTTTCTCTAACACTGGTACTTGGAGTATTTGAGTATATTGTACAAAGATGTGAATACACTGGATCCTAACATCTAAGACTCTTATTTATACTAATTCGACCCTAACGGTCTTTCTATGAGATTACGCCATGTTCGACACCTTTTACATGCATACATTCTGGCACTTCCACGCGTCTTCCTGGCGAAACGCATTAGTTTGAAATTTAAACTTCCCGCTCGAAGCTTTTGAATTCAACTTTGAATTCAACCAACGTAACTGTCGAAGTATTCATATATCTTAAAATATTCCTTTCACTTTAAGTTTTTCTTTCGACAAATCGAATCACAAAAATGAGCTTTACAAAATAACCTTATAAGGTCCAATTTTCATGTTATTTTTAAACCATGATCTTCTCACATCAACTTTCATATTTTTATCAAATGTCGAAATCTTCAGCTAACACTCGCCCAACACGCAAAATAACATTTTTTCACGCTTCTGGGGTGCATTGCCACGCTTCAGGGTTTCCTCTAGCTCGCCCGACGAGCTCGAGGCGAGGTTGACAGAAAATAGAAAGATTCAGCACTGTTTCGACCATAACTTTAGAACCCTAACTCCGATTTGCGCACAGTCGGAAGCGTTGAAAGCTTATTCATTTCTATAACTAAAAATGACTAAATATCAATGCTGAATTCCATACAATTAAACTTAATAATATTTACACGATAACGCAATATATACACTATAACGTAAACTATACCGAATATACACTAAAATTGAGATTTATTGACAAAAATTAAATGAATTAAATCAATGAATGCCAATTATTCATACTCAAATTCACAATAATTTAGCACTCATCAACCGAGTACATCACCAATAAGGCCACCTTAACACAATACATATAACACAGACACACATTCCATAATGCAATATTTCCAAATTCATCACTATTTATTACATACAAACAAATTCACTAATTAGCCATCATATAATTATGCACTTATAACAACGATGCATAATTAATCATCATATAATTATGCACTTATAACATATAGTAATATTCATCATATATCACTGACAACATCACTAAATAGCATTACCTGAATTCCATACAATTGTTACGCCATTAAACAATAAAATTTAAGTGATTAAATTATTATTCAACAACAATAGTCCATCACGATTAATTAAACTCATAATAATTAATGAATTACTCATTAATAATCAATTCCCGTTGACATATCACCAAAGAACATTTAATCAATCACAACAATTAAACTTCTTTTATCATCATTAACCGTCATTGATATTACATCTTAATTAAAATAATAAATTCACATCCTTAAGTGCATATTTAACCTCTTAGAGCATGGTACTATGAGTTAACTTTCCAACGCTTCAAATCACATCTGAAACGAAGTTAAGGAACTCGAGTTATGATATTTTTTGTTAGACATAGTGGAAGTCATGAGGGTTGACGGACATCACCCAAAACTGGGTCTTTACTCACGGTCAGTTCGTCGCTATGTCCCAGAATCCGCAGATAAATACCTTGAATTCATTTTTCAGCATTTTTCCACAATTGGAGGACCATCAGACCTCCGATTTCAGTTTCATAAAAACTAGAATATTCAGAAAAATATACACTGTGATTATCCACTAATATCTTACTCGTATAACACCATAATTATCCATCATGAATACACCCGTAGAAGAGCAACCTCCTCCCTTACCTTGGATTTTTCCTAGTAGCAAAGCATGCCTTGCAACAATGATGACTCTTACTCGTTTGCCTTAGGTTGACTTTTCTCCCAACTTCTAATTTAGACAACTTCTCCCACTTCTCCTCACTTTTCTATTTATAATATGTTAGAATATTTGGATCACAATTGTAATGTTTCATGTGTTAGTGCCATCATTTAATTAGTCAAAATTGTAGTGGTCTAATTAATAATAAGTCAGTGACTAAAAACATAAATTTCATGAAAGATAATATTATTGTGTAGATAACATAAGTCAATATCTAATTTGATGCATGGCCAAATTAAAATATTGAAAACTAAGAAATAACCTAAAGTTATTTATAGGGGGTTATGGTCTCCATTTGTAGACAATTAGAAAATGGCTTATTAGAAATTCTGTCTTCATTCCCATCAGAGAAGAATCAAAGAGTCATAAAGAATTTTACAAATCGGAAGATCAAATACCCGCAAACCTTCGGTGATTCCCAATGGTAAATTCAAACACGTTTCCGTTTTCATTCTCATAATTGTATTCAGATATGAGTTTACGAATTTTATTTAGAGTTCTGTTCTTGATTTCTAAATTGTGGTTTCGAACTGCAACATATATATTATATACATCTAGATATACATGCAATTAACATGCTCCTATTTTTATACAAACAGAAAACGAATCAATCAATATATGAAAAGAAACAATCAAGGTAAGTAACGTAGTATACCGTTACAAATAATGTTTATGAGTGACGACTAGGCAATGCCAAATGAGTAGGGTGGTTTTCGCCTGCCACAATAACCAGAACGTTAGGTTCACGATCAATTTCATTACTTGTTTCACCTCTTGACTTGTTCGAATCACTAGTTGTATTCGGCAAATGATCCATTTCAGGCCTAAGACACCGCGAACAAGCCACTGTCAGCAATGCTATTCCAATAACAATAAAAATGGGTGCAAGACCCCCATAGAGGAATGAAACTGATGAATTCCATGTCCATTGAAACGGTCCATGACCAACTGCTCCCTGATTCATATATATAGATATAGTCTATAGATATAATATTTTACTTACCAAAGTTTGATAGATTTTTTCTTTTGTTCTTAGTAATTGATAGAGTTTGATTCTATTCTTATAGGTAGTTATGTATCTAAGTTAGTATTTGTTTAACTTTAAGAAACAAGGTTCAAAGATTTTTTTGACGTTCCTCAAAGGCTATGTAGTGGTTAATTTTTAAATATTATCGAATGTTATTTATTTATAAACTTGTTCTCACAAACTTCTCAAACGACTTTGTGTGTGTTTTTCTTACGTGAATGTAGAAGTAAAGAAAATTGGATGATGTGATATTGGCGTTACAACAAATCCAAGAGACGTTGATTTGAGTTTTATTAGAAAATGTTTTGACCATTTCATATGGCTCAAGGGGATACAAAATCTTAAAGCATAGTACTAGTAAAGGGTTGTGGGAACCGTGGTTATTACTCTTCTATATTATTATTGTTATTAGTTCATGAAATTGGCAAGTAAATGTCAAGTTAATCCTTTAAATTAACATCAAACCCCAAAGAAATGATTGGGGGACCAAAATGTAACACATAATACCATGACCCATCCTTGTGTATTTCATATATTTGGTATGATATTGAGCTACAATGAATAGCATAACCAAAAAACCAAATCTTCAAGACTATTTAATCCTTTAAAAAAATATATAAATATAAATGAAAGTTTATTTTTCATATTTAAATTGTTGGGGTTGTTTGGTTTACAAGTTAATGGCATAAGGAAAAGTGATGAAATTTAGAGAGGTACAAGCTGTAATTAGCGAAGGAAAGGCTTGGTATTAATAATCCAGATGAATTAATACAACAACATGTAAGAGTTTATATAAAGGAAAAATTAACTGATTAGGTTGATTTTGAAAACGATCAGTTTGTGGTAGTTTGTTTGTGTTACAAGTCACTTACTTGCAACACAATCAAATTGCCACTAAATCTGTAATACAATACCAATTCAAATCAGTTAACTTTCTCATTCTCATCAATTTTTTGAGACTTTCAAACATTACTTTCTTCAATGACTTGGTTAGAATTTCTGAAAGTTGTAATCAAGTCTTTCAAAATTCCATCTTTAATTTATCCTTGTTAACTTCGTCTCTTACGAAATAATACCTCCTTTTTATATGTTTCCTACTTCTATAACTCATTAGATGATTAGGAAAATCAGTTGTTGATTTTTTGTCAACTAGCATCTTGATATTCATTACTTCACTAAACTCTTTCCAACAATATTTACATCCAATATACTTGGCATCCTGCATAAAAAGCTACAACATATTATGCCTCTGTTTACTCGTGGATTTGGTAAACAACGCTGGTCTCTTGAAAACAAGTTTACATGCGAGATCGACCAGGAAATCTCAGAGCCGTGCTTCAGTTCGCGTGCGTAGTCAAAATATTTTCAAAAAGGGTGCGTTCGACTGGGAGCCAAACGTATTTAAGTTGCAAAAGATAAGGTCAAAAAGACAAAGTAAAGGAAACGAAAAACGCTTTAAATTGTAAAAGATAATGACATCACATTAAAGAAAGTTGTAAAATAGGTTGGTTCAAACATACATTGCCTTTGCCTGACTCATTTTGCTCGTTCGCTTGATACTTTGAGTGACTAGCGCGCAGGAATGTGAAAAGTTTGACCCCTTACCAAAGTGCACTAAGTGCTTTATTTATAATACACATAAATAACTACTTTTTAAGTGGGTTTGTTTCCTTACATGCCACGTGTTCTTCACAACTTCCCCTCATGAACCCACGTTCTCTATTTGTAACTTCTCTTTGTGAATCCATGTTCTTCATTATGGTCGAATCCACGTTCTCCCTCCATAACGTTTTGCCTTTACAATTTCAGGCACTTATGGGCCTTTTAACTCTTTTGGGCTTCTCACCTCCCTTGGCCTAATCCATTCACCATGAACTTTTCTCTGGTCGACTGCGCTTATGAAACCTTGGTCGTCTGCTTGTAATATCAACCATGGTCGACATGCTTATGTAGTCGACTCCTCATAATTTAATGCTCTTAAAAGAGCCTTTTTGACTTTTGATTTGAAAATCTCTCTTTATGAAAATCTCAACCAATAAATTTCCCCCCAAAATGTCCTTTTCAACTGCAGGGGCAGAAACAAACATTTTAATCATTTCCTCTTAGTGCGAAGTGACGTCACTGTAATCATGATTTTATTCTGCAAATGTTACATCAGCAATCACACAGCCACTCCCCTACTTTCTAGCTTCAACTTCCTAGGATAATTGTGGCTTCCAACTTACCAACTTCCTCATCTTAGTCGCCATCTGTTTGACACGTACCGGTCGTGTGACCACAATTTTCTCCCACTTTCTTCCCAAGCGTTTGGGCTCTTTGGTGGTATAAATACCCTTTTCATTCCTTCATTTTCTTCAACATCTATCAGCGCATCATGCATCATTCCCAAATACTCCTCAGTAGGAAAATTTGATTGTCTCTGTATTCTCATTGATTGCAAATGGATTTCTAAGGGCAAGACTGCTTCGTGTTCATAAACCAAACTGAAAGGCGTTGTGTTAGTCGAATCCTTTGGTGAGTTTCACATGCCCATAATGCTTGGTCCAAAATGGTATGCCAACTTCTAGGCTTTTGACCAACATATTTCTTGATTAAATCGATTATGGTCTTATTCGCTGCTTCGACTTGCCCATTTTCCTGAGTATAATATGGTGTCGATGTTAATAGCTTGAACCTCATTTCTACAACGAACTCATTCACCTTTCTCCCTACGAACACAGTCCCTTGGTCAGTTGTTATGGTCTCTGGCGTCCCAAACCTATATATGATTTGGTTTTGAATGAAGGCCATTTGTAATACGTGGGAGAACTGACTTGGTATTTTGCGTTTTATCATAATTGTTGCGGATAGCAAGAGTCGCCACCGACTTTTCTTTTATCCAATAAAGGAAAGGGTGAAAAGAACAGGAAAGACCTTTTAAGAATTTTCTTGAGTTTGGAAGGTAAGTTATGAAAAGGAAAGGTGTTAGCACCCTTTTCATCTGTAGTTATCTACGGGATCTTAATTGTTTGATTACTTTGAAATGCTTTATGCTTTGTGTAAGTTGAAAGATGTTTTGAAAGTGTTTTGAAAGTAGTGATTTTGTAATGATTCTCGTATCATTGAGAATGTATACAAAATGTTTGTTTTAGAAATATTAAAAAAAAACGCCTTAGTATGACGAAATTTGTAATGATTCTCGTATCGTTGAGAATGTATACAAAGTGTTTGTTTTGAAAATATTTGTTTGAAAAGAGAGTGTTTGAAAGGATGTTTGTTTTTGAAAGTGTGATATGTAAAATGATTTTAGTTGTTGAGCAAGCAATTACGAGCAACCTACCTACTCAAAAAGTCCCTTCTTTTCCTCCTCCTTTAGATAATGCTACTTTACCATTGGTTGGTAGGGAGCCATATCATTGGATGTAAGGGACATGTGTGGGTCATCGTACAATCATAGAAGGCAACTTGTAGAATGTTTTAGCAATTTTCGTAAGGGACTGAGATCGTTTACCGAAGGCAACATTTGAAGGATCATCGAGGGACTACAATCTTTTAATCGAGGGTCTTTGTTAAAACATCCCACGTTCAAGGGACATGATTGTTTTTATCCAAGGCAACAAGTGAGGTTAACCCTAGAGATGCATGTGTGCAAAGTGTTTTTGTTTTCAAGTATTTTGTCTTGGATTAGGGTTATCTAATGTTTGATTTTAAATCTTGTCATGCAAACCCTAATTATTAATAATAATAATAAGGAAAGCGATAAATTGCGGAATTTAAATGTCTTACGCTATTACAATGCTTTGGGAATGGGGAGTTCAATTTTGTGAATGAGGGGAAGAAAGCAATAAAGCCTAATTATCTATTACAAACCATTGGACATGAATAATGATAGAATGTACAAAATGTAAAGAAGAAGAAGGAAATTTTTTTAAGGGTTTTTTGATGAAAAATATTTCAAGATTAACCTAATTAAACTAATTAATTTTAATTACAAGAAAAGTTAATTAAATTTTAACAAAAACCTAAAATCTAAGTTAATTGAAATTAATAAGAAAATAAAAACCTAAGTCTAAATAATTCATTTAGAAAATAATTTGAAGTTTAATGTTAATATCAATCTGTAAAAGAAATAATAAAATTTAATTTAAGAAAATAAAATATTTACATTAAAATATTTTTAATTTAATTACTTAAGAAAATATATTTTTTTGGTATTTTTGGTTAAATAAATAAATAAATAAAAATAATGAAAATATAAAGAATTGGGCTGGGTGTTAAAAAGGTGAAAGGGAGGTAAAAAGTAGCATAAAGGCACAAAACAACTTTTTGTTAGAAATAGAAATGAAATAAAAATAAGAAAATGGGCTTGTGTTTTAGTAAAAGAGGGGGTGTTGGGAAGAAATTCAAACAAGCCCAGAACAATGATCCAGCGCCTATCTATGGTTCCATGTGGCTGGTTTCAAAGGGTCCATGATGCACATGTGAGCTTGGAGCGTTTGATTTAAATTTATGATGATCATGTGGTAAGAGAGTGAGGAACACCATGCGCTTCCTGGACCCGCCTGCATATAATCTCATAGAAACAAATATGAAAGAAATAAAAGGGTACCACTGGGGCTCGAACCCAGGTCCCTATAGATCAATGCCTTAACGCGCGCTTCTCTGCCACCGGGGTGGCTGTTTTATCCATTAATAATACAACTTGCAATAAACTCAAAATAAACTCATTTCTAAGATTTGAAAATGACTTCATCTTCAACCTTGCGCGCGCAGAGAAGAACAACACCATGACCAATCTGTAACTTCTTCATTTCTCAACCAATTTCAAAAATGTAAACATGAAAGTTGTTCCATTTTTCACCATGAATTCAACCATATAAATTTCATAAGCTATAAATCGAATATGAATGAGAATTTTGCTGGTACCAAATAAAAACCTAATTTTTTCAGAAAGTTCA